TTCAGGGGCTTCTGAACTTGCTTCCTCTGCTTCCACTACAGGTACTTCAGGGACTTCTGAACTTGCTTTCTCTGCTTCCACAGGGTTCTCTTCTTCACCTGTAGGATTTTGTCCACCAAACAAAGTATTAATTTAAAGAGCGTGGAGTAAAATGGAATACTGTACAGTCATTTTAAAAAATGAGACCGTCTATACGTACTGATATGTAATGGTCCTTAAGGGAGATTGTTAAGTGAAAACAAGGAGAAGAACAATGCATAGCATATGGTACTATTTGTGTTAGGACAAAAGAGGGATGAACTGTATACCTTGATAGTTGAATTTTCAAAGACTGTCTCCAGGAGAATTCAAAGACACTGGTATCACTGGTTGCCTCTGGGGAGGGGAAATGGGGGATCTGCTTTTCTATAAACCCTTTTGAGCCTGTTGACCTTTTATAAAAAGTCATTTACGTGTATTACTTGTGCAAATACAAAGAACATGAAAATAAACAGCTAACCTGTCATGCGAGACAGCCAACTTACTAGCTGTGTGACTCTAAGGAATCATTTAGCCTCTCTCAACCCAAGTTTTGTCATCTATAAAAACAGGGACGTTGATAATATCTATTTCACAGGCCTGTTGTGATGATTAATCAATAAAATGTGCATGAAAAGGAGCTTAAAACCAATAAAGTGCTAATAATGAAATGCAATGTTTTATTATTATAATTATAATTGGCCTATTCAATAATATTTATTGAAGATGTTCTGTTGTTCATTGTTATGACTAAAAGGTTAAAACTGTTTCATAAGTAACTAATAGCTCTACCCTGAATAGGGATCATAAGAATTAATAATAATACCACTACACTGAGGGTTGTATCCTTTCACCATTCCATCTGTATACTGAGCAAATAATCAGAGAAGCTGGACTATATGAAGAAGAGCATGGCATCAGGATTGGAGGAAGACTCATTAATAACCTAATATGTAGATGGCACAACCTTGCATACTGAAAGCAAAGAGGACATGAAGCACTTACTGATGAAGATCAAAGACCACAGCCTTCAGTATGGATTACATCTCGACATAAAGAGAACAAAAATCCTCACAACTGGACCAATAAGAAACATCACGATAAACAGAGAAAATACTGAAGTGGTCAAGGATTTCATTTTACTTGGATCCATAATCAACACCCATGGAAGCAGAAGTCAAGAAATAAAAGATGTACTGCATTGGGCAAATCTGCTGCAAAAGACCTCTTTAGTGTTCAAAAGCAAAGATGTCACTTTGAGGACTAAGGGGTGCCTGACCCAAGCCATGGTGTTTTCAATCGCCTCATATGCATGTGAAAGCTGGACAATGAATAAGGAAGACCGAAGAAAAACTGGTACCTTTGAATTGTAGTGTTGGCAAAGAATATTGACTATATGATGGACTGCCAGAGGAACAAACAAATCTGTCGTGAAAGAAGTACAGCCAGAATGCTCCTTAGAAGCGAGGATGGCGAGACTTCGTCTCACGTACTTTGCATATGTTATCAGGAGGGACCAGTCCCTAGAGAAGGACATCATGCTTGCTAAAGTAGAGGCTCAGTGAACGAGAGGAAGAGCCTCAGTGAGATTGACTGACACATTGGGTGCTATGCTGGGCTCAAGCACAGCAACAATTGTGGGGACGGTGCAGGACCAGGCAGTGTTTCATTTTATTATACATAGGGTCGCTGTGGGTTTGAACCGACTCAACGGCACCTAAAGACAACAGTAGGGAGATGGAAAAAAGCATGGTTTAAAGCAAGCAGTTTAAGGCAAGGAATATACATTAGGGTGAAAATATAAACTTTCTATCCTTGTGGTCATTATTTTATTATCAATCAGATCAACTAAAGGACTCAATACATATGACCGATTCTACTGTCAGGTACACTTTGGAAAATAACACATGGGTAATCTTAGCCACAACTGAAACAAAAATTAGTTTTGTCATTTTAAAAAATGAATGAAATGAAAGGAAATCTCTATTATCTCAAGCTACTAAGAGAGAAACATATACTAGTATTTTGCCTGCATAAATGGAAGCCTAAGTAGGGGAAAAGTGATATCGCACAAAGAAGTCAAAGCTACTGGTCAGTAGTATAATGTACAACTTTTTCATTCATCATATGCCCTCATTCCAAAAAAAAAAAAAAAATGCAGTTATCCAAAATGCATAGCAATATTCATTAGATTTTGATTGCATTTTTCTTTTCTGAAT